CCTGAAATATTTTACCACTCCTGAAATATTTTACCACTCCTGAAATAACTTATCATCAGGAATGTTGGCATTGCCACTACCTGGAACACAACACAGGGATGATCAGGAATTAGACAGGGACATAACAGCATTAATACCTTCCTGAAATAACTTATAATTCCCCAAATAATTTATCATTCCTGAAATAATTTCTCATTTCTGAAGTAATTTATCATTCCTGAAATAATTTATCCTCAGGAATGCTGGCATTTCCAAAACCTGGAACACAACACAGGGATGATCAGAAGTTATACAGGGACAAATATATTCCTGAAATAATTTATCCTCAGGAATGTTGGTATTCCCACCACCTGGAACACATCAGAGTCTTCCAGTATTCTTCTTTCAGAAGTGCTTTAATGCTTAATATCCCTTGTCTATTGAAGGGTTTTGAGCCCTCAAAACTATTTTTATTGCATTATAATATATTAAGTGTATTGTAACATAAAAATGAATATAACATATAAAAAAATATTATAACACACTCATGATTTTTATGTGCAGTAAATGGAATTTATTTCATGTACTCACCCATTCCTCTCTCCAAGGTCTCTCCGAAACTCCGGGACATTCCCATTTCATTTCTTCCAAATTCTCTTTCAAATCCTCCCCCCATGGCACGATCCATCTCTGGAAAGATGGAATTGGGAAGGTCAGGGGGTCTAAAAATGGAGTTGGGGAAGTTCAGGGGGTCTCAAGGTGGAGTTGGAAAGTTCAGGGGGTCTAAAGATGGAATTGGGAAGTTCAGGGGGTCTAAAGGTGGAGTTGGGAAGTTCAGGGGGTCTTGGAGATGGATTTGGGAAGATCAGGAGGTCTAAAGATGGAGTTGGGAAGTTCAGGGGGTCTCCAAAATGGAGTTGGGAAGGTCAGGGAGCCTTGAAGATGGAGTTGGGAAGTTCAGAGGGTCTCAAATGTTCCTGAGAGAACATTTTAACCCCAGAATCGTTTTTAAAGATTCCCAGCAAGGGAAGGTTTTTCTCATGTTCTGAGCATTTTGTGGTGTCTTCACGAGTCCAAAACCCCAAGGAAAAGCAGGACTCATCCCAAATATTTCTGAAGCTCTGGAAAAGCCTTTCTGTTGAGCACAAAATCTTTTTGAACCAACCCTTCCCAGCAGCATCAATCAATGACTTATTTTGGGCAGCTCGGAGGCCACGAGTGACTCGGGGACACTCTGTCAGCTGGAAAAGCTTCCAGTTATTCCCAAATAAAGCTGAGGAGAGGGATACACTTCCAGGGAACACACAGGAAGGGCTGGACACACAAAAACCCCAGTGCCTACCAGTCATCCTGCCCATGTTCATCCCGGCTGGGAAGCGCCCGATGTTTTCCATGGCACCGAAGGGACCTTCCATTCCTATAAAAACAAACAAAAAAAAATAAAAAGGGATTTTCCAGGGATTCTTTAGCAATGCATTTCAACTCCTATTAAAAAA